TTCGCTCCGAGCGGGAGTGAGGGACCGTCCGCCGAATTGCCGCCGAACAGCTGGACCTGCCGCCCCTCTCCGGAGTGGCCACCCCAAGCACCTGCTTGGTAAGCTGGTGCCTGGAGCCGGCCCTGAACCTGTGGAACTCCCAGCCACTGGAAGTCGTTGAAGCTTAGCAAGACCCAAAGAGTGGCTTGGCCATTTCTGTGGATCACCACAGTAGTCAGCGTTGATGCTGTGTGCGCTAACAAAAAAATCAGCGGGGATATTAACCCCCCTACTTCAGTGTTTAACTGCTCCTTGACTGTTAGAAACCAGAATGAGACCTAGTGATGTGGGTGGAATATTCTTATGCCATCCCTGGGAGCAGCTGGTGCTGGCCACAGTCAGAGCTGGGATCTTTGGCTAGCTGGGGCTGGGGTCTGAGCCACTCTGGCAAGCCCTATGAGCCCCTTTGGCCTGCAAACAGAGCAACACTTATCTGACACCTCCCCGCCCAGTGTGGGTAGCAGGGCTTTTCAGCTCGCTGGGGCGGCTAGCATGCGCTGCCCAGCAAGGAAAGAGTTAATTTGCTTGCGTTGAACTTTGTCACAGGAGGAACCCCCTGTGTTTAATTACTTTCTCTCCGCTGCAGCTGCGCCATAAAACTCCGCTCAGGCCTGGCCACTTCTGGTCAATAAAGGGGGAAGCTTAAAGCCAGAAGGCTGCCCAAATTCCAGTTGTGGGTAATGCCCTTCTGCCTGTCTTTATAAATGCCCCCCTCTGCAGTTTGGACTGGCGCAACTGCACGTCCCAGCTGGATTGTTGCTGCCTGGCTGTGAAATAGCTGCTGCGCTCCACCCCAGAACTGGCTGCATTTCAGTGCCGGGTGAGCGATCCCCGTGCAGCGTTACTGCGTGCCATTAAACAGCTGCCATGCGCTGCCCTGCAGTGAGTGCATTTCTGGGTCGGATAATTGTTCCCTGCGCAGTGTTGCTGTGTGCTGTCAAACAGCGGCCACGTTCCACCCCAGGGGAAGCTGCATTTCAGTTGCCAGGATCAGATCTTCAGCTGCTATAAATCAGCCCCGTTCCACTGGCACCAAGCGAGCGGGGCCAGTTTACAGCAGGCCTGGGCTCCAAGCCTGAGCATTTCAGTTCCAGTTCCCAGAGCTACAAGTGTCCCCAACCAGTGAGCTGGAAAGAGTCTTGATTTATCGCTGCTCAGTGCCCCGCTCTGCTGGAGGAGCCAGT